AGATGCTATATGAGGCATGAGCAAGTCACCAAAGATTGGTTCTGAGGAGTATTAGCATTTATTTTAAGAAAACAGAAATCATGCCATTCTTAAGTTTTATAGAAAAATCTTAGGCATATTCAAGCCTGTAGAGGTACTAAAAACCATAGTGATTAAGTATATTTAATTAACGAGTGTGCAGAGTATTAGTATAAACCTCAAACCAATATTAATATACTAATCTAAAGACAACAGTTAAACCACAGCCGCATCCAATGAGTATATGCTCCTAAAATAAGATCCATGAAAGAATGTAGGCACCTAAACCCCAGACTTAGGCAACTAAGTTCCTGTTTTAGGTGCCTACATCCCAGTTTTGGTTCCCCTGCCATCCACAACACTCCCACTGACCCAGAGGTGCCTAAACTCATTCAGTGCCTCAGATTTTCAGATTAAAATGTCCTTATGTTTCTGTCCCTGAGCATGTGCAGTGCTACTCTGGGCATCCAGACTCCTCTCTGACCTAAGCCCCAGGGTGATTCACAAACCAGGGAAAGACAGGCATTCGTCCACCTAACTCTCATGGGAGGACCCAGTATGGTAGGCATGTTCAGTCTGCACCTATGCATAGGGCACCATTCAAAATCCAGCTGGATGAGATGATGTTGCCCACCTTATAACTTTTAGCCCAGTGCTTAGAGCACTCACCTGTGATGTGGGAGACTCAGGTTCATGTCCCCACTCTCTGCCAGAGGGTGAGAGAGGATTTGAACAGTGGTCTCCAACCTGTCAGGACAGAGCTCTAATCCCTGAGTTATTCTGATGTGGGGCTCCCTCAGTCGTTCCTGTTGAAGTTGTTCCACTGTGGATAAATAATGAAAGAGTGGTTGGAGCAGGGCGAAGGGACTTAGGGTCTCTGACATCCCAGGTGGTTGCCCCAATCGCTGGGCTACAGAGTCATTCTCTCTCCTCCCATTCATTATATAGGGAGCCTAGGTGCCTTACTCAGCTGAGTGGATTGCAATCTCATTCCTGTGATTTTCTAGGCACCTAAAAGTTGGGTGCTGTGACAGTTAGTGTTGCAACACTAAGTCCCTTCATGGATCCCACCCCGAGTATAAATAGCAGGTCACTCCCATAGTTCTATACCAGCAGGTGGTATCTTCCTTCCCATTGAGGGCATGCAGCAGTAGGGCATTAAATGCTGATAGTTGAGGATCTCCAGTTGATTGTCTGCTGTAGCTTCAGCCATAAATATCCGCTCAACTTAGCTATACTGAACTCCCAGTGACAAATGCCTTGTAACCAACACACTGAGTCCTGAGTGCACACCAACATGTCTTAGGCCTGGTGCTGAGCATTCACAAAGGTTATCAATATGTCCCATTCCTAATCTTGAATACCCAGAGGAGTCATCCATGAGGTTCAGACCTTGTTCTGAGTGATAACATGACCATCAGTAGGCCCCAGGCCTAGTCTTGAGCATCCAACAAGGTCATTGACATTGTTTAAGCCTGGTTCCAAGTGCCCAGTGGAGTCACTGATAGGGTCTCAGGCCTAGTACTGAATAGCCATTGAGGGTCATTAACTTAGAACCCCACTTTGGACTCCGAGGAAAGTGTTTTATATCAACTGGGTTGAGGCTTCCCATGCTCCAGGCTGGACACAAAGTGAGCCCTCCACCACAGGCTTCAGAGCATGCTGCAGGGAGACTGGGGAATTGCTATGTCACCTTCCTTGCTGGAGGCATCAACTTACATTAAAAGGGAGTGGGAAGATGTTGCCATGGCAACCTTGTTCCCATCTTCACTGAAGCACAAGGAGCGGCTGAGGGGGTTGCTATGGCAACATTCTCTATTTCAGGCACCAGCAGCTTAGAGGGAAAGTCGGAAGGGGTTGCTATAGAAACCATGCTCCCATTGGGCTGGCTTCTTGGCAGCCTTCCTACCCCAATTTCAAAATATCCACATCCTAAAATGGAACTAAACCCTCCCCTGAACCCCAGCATAATTCCTTTCACACCATGCATCCCCATCCTGCGAGCCGAGAAAGTAACTTTCTTGGTGCTGTCTTGACCATCTTTCAGCACCTTCAGTACCTGCCTCAAACCTCGGGTGTAAATGATTATACTTGGTCGAATTGCTGTGGCCCCTCTTATTTACAGAGCATTTCCATATACAGTTGGACCCAAAAGTATGCACAGGGACCAGTTATTAGATAAACTGAGGTGTCAATCCCAGTTACTCTTTCACAAATGGCTGAAATCATTAGCCATCCATCTAATGCTTGTGGCAAAGATGCTCCAAGTGTTCTTGTAGAAGTGAGTAAGGGATCTATGTGCATAGTCTCTCTCAGACTGGGCTTCTACAACAGGAAAATTCTTGTTTTAATCTAGAAATACTTCCCACCTAGTAGATCTACTCCGCTCATATTCATTAAAGAGATGGCGGTTATGAGCCATGTCTGATTAGGTAGCCTTTTTGAAGGAACTATCTGCACCACTTCCATGGGGGTGCACTCAGTAGCATGAATGGAAAATTATTCAAAATCCAAAAATATCTCTGGAACATTTAAAATTCACAGAAGACTTGCTGGACTCAGGTATTCTTAGTCCTTCTGAGTATAAAAGATGAAAACAGCTTGCCTGCTTCACCAAACTCCATTTATCGAAATCCCCACTTGTCGCTGTACATATATGGAGTCTCTCGAATTCCTGCTAGAAATGACTTGTTTTGAAGTCTGCCATTGCTCTACACTAGAGAATATTTGCCACAGTTAGCAGTTGTTAGCAAAGGCTTTGATGTGGAAGTTGAGGACCAAAATCATGTGGCCACAACTAGCAGTATACCTCAAAGAGAAGCCACTGTTAGTGATCAACGGACACACACATATTCCATATTTGAGATCCAAAATAACATTTTTCATTATAAATAATTTTTTAGTTACTCTGATCCAAATAATAATATTCAAGAATCCATCCACAACTTAGACTCGGGATTCACCCAGGAATTTCTGTGCATACTTTGGGATTTCAAATGACTATTTCAGGTAAAGATCCTGACAAACATATAATCAGGCCACCTAGTTCTGAATCAATATGCAAGCAAGGTCAGAATCTCACCTCAGATATTGTAAGCTCCATAAAAGTTTGACTGAACTGTTATTCAGCTAGTTGCCCCTTCCCTAGTAGAGAAAAGAATACAACTGCAGACAGTCACAACTGTTCAACATTGGACCCTCTAGAAGGTCCATAGACCAGAGGGTGCTGAAGCAAATCCTTTTGAGAGAGAAGCAAAATTATCTTGTCAGACCTTTGACCACAAAATTTCTACTTTCTACACTCTTTTGTTGGTGAAGGGAAGGTCCTGATCAAGCTCATGGAATAACAATAGAAATCATGTGGTGATAATCTTTTTCAAGAGGAGAGTAGATACCATTCCATTTTTAATAAGGAGGGATATCTGAAGATATCTCAGACAGGACTCCAGCAGTCTCAAAGGAAACCTTTGCACTCTGGTATCCCACATTTATACTGATCAGTGTTACAGACTACATACCATAGAAATCATTTGCAATAGATAATTCCTCTCCACTAGACTCTGAACCTTGAATTTGTGGTGACTGTTGTGCAGAGACCTTTCCTTATGCGTCCTTCAAACTGTTTAAAATATCTGTGTGTTCCAGTTTTTCAGAGTAGTTTCTTTCTGTTGGTAATGATATCATCCAGTGGAGTAACACATGAAAACCAAGAGTCTGATCTACCTTCTCTGTGTATAGTTTTTTTTCCTATGAAGCCTTTCCCCTTTCCTGAATGCCGTCCTTCTAGACATTTCACAGAAATAAGTAAAGTTGCTGGACCAGATTCTTATTGCACTTAACAGGAGTGACTCCACTGAAGTCAATGGAATTACACTGGTATAAAATTGGTGAGAGCAGAATTAGGCCCCTGGTTCCTGCCCTGAAGAGCTTATGGTCTAAACCTGGGGATAGGAAGGCAAGAGTGACTGTAATAAGATTACATGGTTGTTAAATAAAAACATGGCATAAAACTGAGAGAGACTTCTCATAAATAGAGCATTTCATTTCAATAAATAAGTACTTATATAAAACCCCTTCCCCTCTTAGGTATTGCCCAAATGCTTCTAAAACAATACATGCTCTAAAACTAGCACGTATTAATTTTGAATATCATTATAAACATATTAGACATTGAATCCTTCTAGAAAACGGTAAATAACAACACGTATGCTAGCACAATCTAAACATTAATAATTCAAAAATAGTATAGTAGAACTAGTGAATAGTATATTTTGTAGTTTTATTGTATGAAATCTAAGCTATTTTAAAAAACAACAATTTTATTTTATTTTTCCGAAAAATCTACTTTTCAGCCTAAGGGTTCAAAGTGACAGAAACCATTTTAAATATAGATTTTCAATTCCTTCCAGCAAATTAGTGAAATATAGACCTTAATAAGAGAGACATCTGACTAGATATCATTCATCTTTAACTTTAAATGGGAGATGTGTCATTGGTGGTATTCTGCATCTAATTTGACATACTTATCGGGTTAAACACAACAGAATTTACAAGTATAAATATTTATAGAGAAAGGATAGCAGATGTCATGGTAAACCAGTTAAAACAGATACCATAGGGCTGGAAATGGCATATAACCCCATATATACTCTTAATGCTCGTAATGAAGCTGAAAATTAATTCTTCAGTCATATCTTCATTCCAGGTCTTTACATGCTAAGCAGAGAGTATCCATTTTTAGCCAGCAAACCCTAGGGGAGGTAAATACTGAGAGAGAAGTTTCAAAACCAATTTGTGCTGTGGAGTTGGTATAGGAACAATCATTCTCTCCTGTACAGGGGAGTCTTCAGTGGCATCAGTTATGAATACTGAAGTATGAGAACTCATAAATAAGAGAGGCTTGGAAGAACTAGGAGAAAAAGATGAGACACAGGGTAAATGAGAGAGAGAGTTTTCACAATTAGCAAAGCTGCTTCCCTTACCTGAAATATTTTTGACAAATTGTTAAAGAGGGCTTGACCAGCACTGACTTTGTGTTTGACTCCTCTGACTGTACCATTTTTGCTTAGAATGTTGACTCGTTTTGTACCAAAGCCCCTCTCTTTAGTAGCTCTCACTAAAATGAGCAAGTCATCTTGCTCATTCTCATTTTCATCACACTCAGATCCTAAATGTCCATTCTGCTGTCCATCCGCTTCACTCAGTCTGCTGGTTTGGTCAGTCTCTGAACTACTGGTGTATTCAGAATCCAAAGAGTCTGCCGTTTCTCCATCTGCATACACTTCCTTTAGTACTCTCCCACTGTGAGAGGAAGCAATTCGAAATCGGACTTTCCTCAGCTGCCTCTCACCTTCAGTCTTCATCTCGCTTTTAAGCATTGTCCCATCTATTGATATCAGCCGTTTACATTGTTCTGGTTTAGGCTGTGACTGTAACTGCCAGCTTGTCACACTTAAAACAATATCAGAACTGTTTTCCAGGGACAGCAGCACTCATATTAAACTGAAGTGTAAAGGAAAGAGGATTCCCAAGAACCTACACTGCAGTTCTACAGTTAATAATGAATGAGTTTGTGCTATGGTTACCTTTAAACTAAAACCTGCAAAATGATATCATCAATTAAATATTAAAGAGCCATTGTGTTGGTTTTTTTAGCAGTTAGAGAGAGAGAGAGACTATTAATTGATTGAAACCAAAATTCAGATCAGCATCTAAGAAACATAATAAGTTACACGAGTTTATGTGAATTAAACTTTGTTGAAAAGTGCAAAAAGGAAGAAAGAATTTTCCTCAGGGTTCATCTGTGTAGAATTATTAGGGCTCTTCATTTTCAGTTTTTATTTTATTTAATTTTTCACAGGAATTTATCAGTGTTTATTATCACAACAACAAAAACAGGTGAAAATCAGTGCAAAAAACTATTAATAATTTTTCTGGATAAATATTGGTGTTTATTTTGGTGGACGGAAAAACAGGGGGGGAAAGGTATTCAGTAGATTAATGCTTTGAATTCCATTCATTAATGTGGTTTGCTGCAGAACTAAAACAGAACTCAAAACACAATGCCACCTTTGAGCTTAAGAAAACAATACATCTCTAACCCCCAAATAAAACTTTTCATTTGAATAAACAGTTCACTGTCGTAGGCTTAAAACTATTAGCCTACAAATATTTACATTTCATAATAGAGCCATACCATTTGCAGCGCGTACACTCAACTTCCTCCTTTTCTCCTTTTTTTGTTTTTTTTAAATTTTCAAATACTTCTTTGTGTTCTGAAATGTATTCTGATACAGATTTTCATTTTTTTCCCATGTTAGTGTGTCAAATCTTTAAACCGTTATCTGCTAATAGCTTGAAAGGTGTATGTGATGGGCGTGAGATTCATCAGTATGTTCAGATGCACATGCACTTTAGAGCTTGCATGCATGCCCGTTTGTTTACTGTGTATATTGTCTAGACTAATACATAGCCTTACTTCAACAGGCAGTTTTGCATATACATACAAAATAATGTATTATTGCAATACATATATCTCATGCAATGTATTCTATTTTCCTAATAAAATACGTTATTTTTATATATTTGAATGATACAAAAATAGGGTGAAAATCAGATAAAACTGAATAATACTTTTTGTAAACCCGGGAATTTTACAGTAAAAATCAGTTTAAACTGAAAATGAAGGTGTTTAAGAATTATATATACACTGCACTTCAGGTGAAAATCCTGAGCTCCAATTTTGGAGAGGAGTGGCTGCTGGGAACATTGCTTTACAAACAGAGACGTTGACCTCCACTCTGCCCCAGGTCCTGCCCACACTCCACCCCTTTCCCCAAGCCCCCACCCCGTCCCGCTTCTTCTCACTCCCACTCTGACCCCGCCCCCTGCTCCTCCCCCTTCTCCCCAGCACCTCCTGCACGCTGCTGAACAGCTGATCACAGCGGGCAGGAGGAACTGGAAGGAAGGGAGAGGAGCTGATCAGCGGGGCTGCTGGCAAGCAGGAAGAGTTGGTGGAGGACAGGGAGGTGCTGATCTGCAGTGCTACCGGTGGGTGCTGAGCACTCACTATTTTTTCCAGCCCCAGAGCACCGACAGTCGGTGCCTATGTTTACAAATACCATTTTCTTGATCCACTGATCAACTCTCAGTTATAGGTTTATCCAAAATTTGCTCTTTGTGTAACTCCATGCAGTATCAATGGTATTATGTGAATAGAAACACAATTATGTCTGTGTGTGTGTGTTGATGGTGGACTTTTAATTGTGGTGGGGTACAAGAACAAAATGGAAGAGAAGAATAAGGCCAATCACATTCTGATATGTAAAGTAACAAATTGATGTAAAAATAACACTGGTCTGTATTCTGTTATGTAAATTGCACAATGTGCTTGGTCAAAGGCGTCTGGAGAAAACGATAGAAGAGAAAAGTAATAAACTGGGACAAACAGTGATCAAACAAAGAAAAGTGGGACAAGATCAACTTAATGACAGAGCAAGCTAGGTTCCTTTACAACAAACCATGAATACCTAGGGCTTCCTCTTATGTTGAGTAGTACCTTACTCCACAAATAGTCCTACTGAAACCAATAAAACTACTTGTGGAGTAAGGTCCTATTTAATGTAAGAATGGCAGAACTGAGCTTTTACTGATGTAAAAGGTTGATGGGGTATTGGTGCAACTTCCCACCACCCAGGACTACAGTAGGATGTCTCAGATATTTTCAGTTCCACCTATGCTAAGGGCAATATGTATATAATGATAGACGTAGCCAATGATCCTCTATTAAAAGCAGCTGATGTCCTTCCTGCAACTACTAATATACTGTGTGTGTGTGGGGGGGGTTCTCTAAGGTTTGTTTTGGAAATCCCTGTTTGGTTCTCCCTCAGCACAGTAAAAGAGATAATATTTCCCATTCTCTGTGAATGAGAACAGTGAATTTTACATTGTGTATAAGATCGCATACAAAACACTTAGCAGTATTTCTTCATTAATTCTTTGATCTCAGATGGTCATTAGGTGTATTGAAAGCAGCTCCTAATATTTAAATCAGTTGTATTATATCAGGGTTGGCATGGTAGAAATTATACATCCTACAGTATGTGGTGGATTTTGCAGATTTAGTCCCACTATTCTGTGTTTTTCATATTGGACTATTAGTTTAAAATACATCAAATTCCATAGCTCCAAAAGTAAAGCAGACTGTCCCAATAAGAGAACACTACATTACTTCACCAAATCCCTATTATCCTGAAAATAAGAAGAGGAAAAGCATTTTTAAAATTACTGTTGTAACTTCTCAACCTTATGTTTGTCCCATTTTATGCCATTATAACCTGATTGAAAATCAATGGAATTTCACTGACCCAAAACTAGTACAACATAGTGGTGAATAAGGGTGGTTTTTGCAAGTTCCGATTAAAATCTAAACATTCAGATCAAATCCAACACTTCAGAGATAATCAAAAAAGTGCTGTTTGTGAAACAACACTTACAGGAAAAAAGAAACCAGTGCATATAGGTGACAAGCCACATTAAAATGTTTGAAACATATTACCCAATAATTCCCAAGCTATTAGCATCTCAGCGTATTGCCAGTACATGTACTTTACATATTCCTGCCATAAACTAATTAAATGTTTAGAATTAATATTACATACTGAATTTACTCTTCCTCTCTACATTCTTCAATATTTGAGAATCCCATTAAAATTAAACCTGTTATTGCCATGCCTAAGGCATCTATTTTAATTAAAACTCTATTTCTGACTCTTATCTCTTTATCAGAAATACACTAAAAGTATGTTTGTATATTTATGTGTTTATCTTAGTATGAAGATGCTGTGACTTTTTTTAAATGATCAAAAGAAAAATAGGCACGAGGTGGTTGATCTTAACCTGAATGGCTCAGATGATGATGATTTATTATTTGTATTACCATAGTGCGTAGGACTGCTATTCATGGACCAGAACCTCATTGTGCTAGGTGCTGTACATACACAGAGGAAAAAAACAGTCCTTGCCTGAAAAAGCTTACAATCTAAGTATAAGACAAGAGAACAGATGGCTACAGACAGACCGACAGGGAGTACCAGGAAACAATGAGACAATATTAGTCAGCATAAGAGGTGGTGGTCTCAGCACATCAGCAGCCGACTCGTTGTCAAGTTTTTTTTAGAGGCATCACTGAAAAGGAGAATTTTAAGAAGGGTTTTGAAAGTGGATAATGAGGTAACTTCACAGTTGTCTACAGAGAATTCCTTCCCAAGCTTGTGGAGCAGCATGGGAGAAAGCACAAAGGTTCTTGTGTGAAAATTTAACAAAAGGGCAATGGAGTCCATAATCGTGCACCAGTTAGAGGCAGGGGTCAATAGCAAAGGAAGGATGATGTGTAGGGTGAAAATAGGCCTTGAAGGGTATTGAAAGTAAAGACAAGTGGCTTATGAGAGTTTGGCTTTGGAAGGATAGTGACAAAGGACTTGCCATACTGGATCAGACCCATGATCTCTCTGGTTCAATATTCTGTCTCCAGCAGTGGCCAATGCCAGATTCTTCATCAGAAGGTACAAGAAAAACAGCAGCAGGTTAATATGGGATAATTTACTCCTCCACGAAGGTCTCGTTCTAATCCCTAAAAGTTAGGGAAAGATTGTTAAAAGATAGTTTTAAAACCTGAAGGATAGTAGCTTGGAAGTTTATGTTATTACTTATATTGTATCTTTTAAAACCACATGTGTAGTTTAGTTATGTTTAACTTTCAAGAAGAAATATTGGTGTTTAGTGCTAGTATCGCTCTTTCTTACCAGTCAAACATATGTTAGCAAAGCACGGATTACTTCCCTAGATGTTGCTATTTAACATTGCATCCTTCAAGTGAAATGTTTTGGGAACTTCTGGGTGAAATCCTGGTGCCAGGGAAGCCTGCAGCTGGGAGCGAGTCTCCCAGCCCGGGTGGACAGACTCATGCTAGCGCAGCTCAAACTAGCATGATAAAAATAACAGTGTGGGCATTGCAGCCCTAGCTGAGACTTGAGTTAGTCACACTAGGTCAGACCCAGAGGGCCAGGTCAGCTTGAGAACCTGAGCTCCCCATAGCCACAACATTCACACTGCTATTTTTAGCATGCTTGCTGCAGCCCCATTAGCATGAGTCTGTCTGCTCAGGCTGGGAGGCTTACTCCCAGAGTCCCAGCTGTACTGAAGAAATACCCTCATTGCCCCCCTACCCCCATAAAAATGGGCCCACGATGCTTGATTGGAGCATCTAGCCTCTACTGTAGTACAAATAGCAATGATTAATTATTGATTTCATATTTTCTAAAATCTAAATAAAATATTACAAAATAAAAAAATAATATGTATAATGAGCCAAATTTTCAAACGTGTGCAT